TGGAAAAATGGAGAAAGAATAAGGATTTGGAAAAAGGAATTTAGTAAACAACTTCTCCATTTTTTCATTTTCTCCACTTCTTCATTTCTCATTTTTCTGGAAAATCCTCCATTTTCCAAGTTTGGTAAAACGACCCCTTAGTTTCTCCGTGTAGTTACTCTATTAAGGGTAGCTACGGAGTAGCATCACCTTTTTGGTTGTATGTTTGGGTAATAGTCTTTTACCCCTTTTCTATTATTCCGTAACCTTTACCCCTTTAAGGGTATTTAATACTAGGGCCAGATGTTAGAAAATTGGGGGTGTTACATACCGCACCACCAATTTATTCAGACCTCAAATGCCCATGATCCCTTCATTTATCCCAGGATGTATAGTCAAGACCACCAAATTATTTCCCAGCACCCCACCTCCAGCGGAATGAGTAGTACAGTGGAGTCCTTTTATTGGGTCCAGGTCGCCTCGCCCACAGACGACACCAACGCCGGCAATCCCTTCTCGCCACCATCCCAGTCGCTGCCAGTTGTTCCGATGATTGCCACAGTAACTGCGATTTTTCTTCCCCCGTTGTCGAACAATGAAAGTTCTATTTTGCCTTCAAAAGAGACGGACAATTAACACCTAAACTGACAGAGGATCAAATCGAACACAAAATTAATACTTGAGAACTTAATTGATAAAAAATGATAGTCGAGAATTAATTTGATATTTTCCGCCATAGTCGATAGACCAAAACGGTAATTAACTCTATGTATATATTCGTGTTAAAACCGGCGTTTGTATGTATACTTTATTTAATCGTATTATACGTATAATATAATTCATGTTAGTTACTCCGTAATAATTAACCCTTTTTTTTTTTTTTTTTGGAATGCTACTAGCTCTATGTTCATATACTTTTCTCAACCTACTGAAACACAAAGAGCCAATAACGCCTCCACTGAGGCTCGAACTTACAACCTTCCAAATGGAAGTCCAACCCGGATACCATTTAGACCACATAGTCCTGGTCCGTAATAATTAACCAATTAATCTATTCTTTCAAAAAAAAAAAAAAAAAAAAAAAAAAACCAAATCTATCATTTCACCTGCCACGAAATTGCCTAATTGTCCCATCGCTGGTTGGCTGGTTGGTTGAAAATCCATTTCCCTTTTCCTCGCAATTGACACCCCAACATCTCATTGCATTTATTGCCTTGCTTTATTTGCACTCATACTATGAATGTGTGAACTAAATATGGTCACACGAGATCACCTCTATTTAGGCAAGTTTATTATACATAAGGAAACAAATATGTACAATAAAAAATAATTGACTTGATAATTATAAAATTTCGAATTTTACTTTTTGTAGGAATTGTCTATTGAATTTTATTATTTGAGTCAGTCAACTATGATAACCCTGGTTTATTTCATTGTGGTCATTTGTTGATTATGGTCAAAAAGGCGAGTTTCACCCGGTATACATCTTTGGATAGCGATTGCAGACTTTTCCATAAATAAAAATAATTTACTTACAAATATCTAACAAGGCAATGAATATAATTATACATAAGTTTGCATGTTACAGATTTCAAATATTTAATAATTTTTTTAATAATTCATCAAGTATTATATTTTTACTAAATTATTACTTATTCCTTGAAAAGTATTATACTCCGTTTTAATATTAGAGTCCGTTTGGAAAGAAGAAAAATGAGTCATTTTTCGGAAAGTATTCTCCTTTTCCAGTGTTTGGTTGCATTTGAAAAATTGTTTTGGTGTGCTTGGTTCATCTTCTGAAAAATAAGTAGACTTGTATAATTAAATATTTTATTTATTTTATTTAGAATATAAAAATATTTTTTTTTTTATATTTTAAACCCAAAAAAATAAATTCTAGTGGAACTAAAAGAAAAAAAGAAAAAAGAAACAAGCTGAATGTGGCGGAAAATGACTTTCGCCAAATTTTTGGTGGAAGTCATTTTCCGTCAAAATGAGTCCATTTTCCCCCGTCAACGGAAAATGTTTTCTGTTGGCTGGATTTTCCAAGTGTAACCAAACACCAAAAATCCGAAAAATGATTTCCCGGATTTCCAAACTCAGCCTTAGTGAAAATGTA